ATTGTCCAATGACTTATTTAACATATTTTGGAATATCCAAGGACTTATTTGTTCCAAAAAATTATCCAAGGACTTATTTAACATGTTTTGGAATGTCCAAGGWCTTATTTGTTCCAAAAAAAAGTCCAAAGACTTAATCATTCCAAACAAAAAAATTCATTGATTTTTATTGTACTTTTCCCTTTTATGAAATATATAAAATAAAATAATAATTTATTTCGAAAATTAGATCCTAAAATTTAAAATTATAGAAGTTTATTTTACCAAACAAAGCATCTCCTCCCACATAATATCCTCCTGTTTCCCATCTAGAATTGGGTACTATAAATGTGAAGTTTGCCGGCCGGACGGACTGCCGGAGCTACGACACTGCTACAGAAGCCGCCACCGGTCTGCTAGGAGTGACAGAAGTGAACATGTTGCTTCAAAACTGGACCTTTTCTTCTTCCCGAATGTTGCAGTCTACAAATCAAAACAACAGAATCGATTACGATTCTACTCGTCGTTACTCGAGAAGAAGAAACCTCAAAGCGTCTCTTAGAGTTGGAACCGACGTGATCGTTGAAATAGCTCACAATAAGGTTTTCATCGGTTTTTTAATTTCTAACCGACACATTGGCTCAGAATGCTTATCGCTAGAAGTTTTTGAAAACTGACTAAAAATTGTGGGCAATCAGTACCACTTTTAGTTATTGAGTTGGGGGGATTTACTTTTGTGGATAATTAGTAACTAGAAAGTAATCAACAATGTAAATATAGAGCATATATTGATGTAGTTATTTGCAGGACAATGTGGAAAGATCAAAAGTTCTAAATATGGATGTAAACAATTTGATTCAGATACTTCTATTTCGTAAATGGTATCTTCTGGCTGGTGGGGAGGTGCTTCATAATCTCCAAAATGCAGGGAAGTAATCCATGTCCGTTTTCTTGGGGGTGTCTGTGTATGCGGAATTGGTAAAGTTTCCCCCTTGCTTGTAAGGTTGGAATGATTTTCAGTGGAGACTGGCCTATTGTACTATCAAGTGAAGAGGACATGGTTGTCATACAACTGTAGGAGTGTCAGTTTTGATGGGTCGAAATTCAAGGGCTTCACTCTTTATGGCTTTATCCCTTTCCAAACCATGAACTTGCTAGGGGTTTGTTCCTTTTGATTTGCCTTTTGACGGTAAGCATTGGCACCAATAGAGGTTTAAGGGCAAGTAGTGAGATAGATAATCAGCTGAAGTATGGTAGAAGTGTTAAAGAGGTTAAAAGTCGCTTGTTATCATCATCTTTGCATGTCCATAGGTTGATGTTAACGTGGGCTTCAAGTCTCCTAAACATACATTTTGCATACTCCGTTGATTATGATTGTGTATAAGTGCTGTTATGATGCCTTCAGATTTGGAGAACCCTTTTGATGTACACTGGTAAAACATAGTAAAATTGGCACACAGATGAATTCTATTAGGGTGGAAACGAATGATTACAAAATGGGTTTTCTGGCTTTTGAGAGGCCAGAATCTCTCCACTGGACTCACACCCAAAGTGTTCACAAAACACAATACCTTCTCTTGGTCCCTCACGCTCTTATTTATACTAGATCTCTGCATTACCAACTTGTACGCTTTACGCATTAACTACTTGTACCACTATTAGTACAGGGTATAACATACATGTGCATCCATCGTGTAGTGAATCCTTCAAGTCATCTACCCACCCTGTGGTCCATGTTCTTTTCAAATATGGGTTCTCTATTCAGACTCATGACCTAACATATCTCACCCCTCCTAGACCCTGTTTTTGAGCGAGATATACTAAGTTGTTTGGTTCACTTTGGTTTATAATCATGCAGTTTGGTTGCATAGCATGTAGCTAATTTTCACAGCACATTTCCCTCCTTCTAGTGCCAACTCTTGATGCTGAACTCTGCAAGAGATTGGTCACATGGGTCTGTCTTGGGCATGATGGTAAGGATTGGCACATACAAATAAAGTTCAAGGCAAATAATGTTAGAAAGACGATAAACTATAATGAAGGGATGAAAGTGCCTAAAAAAATCTATTGTAACCAAACCACATATAGATATGTTGATGCTACTTTGACTCGAAGCCTCCAGAAGGCACCTTTTATAGGCTCATGCTTGGATGCAGTGACTATAAAGGGTTTTGAGGGAAGTTACCTATTTAAGACTTTGAATGGAAGGAATTCTTTGGGTGTACTTGTGTCCTTGGTCTCTAATGAATCCATTGAGCCATCTACCCATACCTGTGCTCCACGGCCTCTTGGATATGGGTTTCTCTGTTTAGGTCAAATTTTCTAAATGTGTAAATGACAATTTATAAGACCTTAAACCATATACATGCAAATGAAAATAAGCTTTTGAGTCTCGTGCAAGACCACATTGCTACAAAACCAATGGCTTTTCTTTTTCTTTTAAGTTTCTGTTTTCGCTTTTCCACTACTTCGTGTGTAAAACTGGCCATTAATTTTCTTTGTTAGTCGGTGAAGGTGTAGCTTGTGTAGAAATGCGGTTTCCTTTTCCTTAGCCAAGTGATGCCAAGTTGATCATGTCGCAAATGCTGTTCATCATTCACTTATTTTTCTTGTGTCTTCCTTTGATTATCTTCTTATAGGCATTGATAGCAGCAGCAGTCTGTGGTGCAGTTGGACAGTTGGTAAAACCTTTTACTGCTTCCATTTTGTATCGAAGAGATTTTGATCCAAAAGCTGCGATTCAGGCGGGAGGGTTTCCTTCAACCCATTCTTCTGTATGGTTTCTTTCCAGAACATGCTTTTGCTTTTATTACCGATACTGCTTTTGGTGCTTAGGTGAATGTGATGTTTCTGAAATTTTACATATTTTAATGGGCAGGCAGCTGTGGCTACTGCAATGTCTGTTGGTCTGGAAAGGTTTTATTTCATGTGAAGAAACAACATATAGCATTTCAGTTATGTTGAACTTGTTTCTAGGTCGATGCCTAGTGTCAATGTCAATTTGAGTATGGGGGGAACAAATATCTGAGATTTGATACATTTCTATCTGTTTTTCCCCCAACATTGCAGGGGTTTCTCGGATTCCATTTTTGGATTAGCCGTTGTCTATGCTGCTCTTACCATGTATGATGCACAGGTATGCAGATACTCATTCCGCTTTATGCTACCATGTTTTCATTACCTAACCTGTTACTGCCTCCAAACTTTAATCACCAAGACATCATTTTTGCCTGTATATTTGAGTAAGCATTCTTCCATTTTGTAGTTTGTCCATCCATTTGCCTCTTCAAGAATTAGAGATGACATTTATTTCGGATTTGGTTGATTTGGACTTGATTCTTGAATGCCTATTTATGCACCCAAAATGTAGGGCCCATCTTAAATCCCTGATCAAAATTGGTATGCTTTAATGAGGATGAAGAAAGAGTGCACTAATAGTTGTCAAAACTGGTAACCGATTCCCTGATGACTAGCTTTAGCTTTTCTTTTGCTAGTAGTTATCAGAACTGCAGTTTATGTTCTCTTGTTTGGTTGGTTTTCCGTTAAGTTATATATAGGAGTCCGTGTGGATTCATTTGTCTTTATAGATTACAATAAAATTTGTTTGGGAGGGTTCTTTTGTAGATGAAAGGAGTGTGCTTTTTAATTGGGAGGTGCAGGGTTGGAATTTTTTTGGCTTTTTGCATAAAGCTCCCTCCTTGAAGTTTACTGAATAAGCCACTTTCTATATCATTAAGCCACCTCCAAACAATCATGTATAGCAGACTAAATAAGCTGAGAGTCCCATTAAGCTTATTAAGCTGCTAACAACTAAGTGTCTTTGGTTTGGTTTTTAAGGAGTGCACTGTCTGAAAACAACCATTCCACCGAAAGGCATATCTAGAAATTTTTTCAAGTGGTGGCACCATTTGATTATAAGAAAACAACGCTATGCATATTTTTTACAAAATCATCATTGGATTGGTGGTTAGTTCCTTGCTTTTTGCATGTGAGGTTCTGTGTTCAAGTCTTTTATCCCAAATATTTTCAGAAACATAATAAACCTGGAGTTAAAAGCTAAAAACTAAAAAACTGATACAAATGGGATTTGAACCTGCACTTGGAAGGAGAGAAAAGACCATGCAAACAAACTCTAACAAGAGAAACTTATATTATTATTGTAGTTTCAAAGAATATACCGTTGCACCCAACAAAATAACAAAGTGGCACCTTTTACAACCCTAAAAAATTTCACACAATGACGGAGGCTATATGCACCATAGTGGGTCCACGCCTGCCCAAGTCCCTAAACAACTGCTCAACTCTTTGGCATCCGCATACATCCCACCTCCAAGACCCTACTTCCGAAGGAATGTACTGTGTGTATTGTTTTTCTAACAATGCACTTGTTTAGTTTCTACCCAATTGTGGGATGCATTATAACATCCCAGAGTAACCGTACCAGTTTTTGTCCGCTTTGTCCACATCTGGACTCACGCTTTTAAAATGCCTGATAGAGGAGGTATCCAGTTCCTTAGAAGACGACTTTTGTTGGGTAAATACGATTCAATATTTACCAATGTGGGATCTTACATGCATTCTACTGATTCATTACATCCACAACTTCTCTTTCATCGGGTAAATACGATCGATGATGATGATGATGACGGACAGAATCTTATGGGTTTTGCAGGGTGTTAGAAGGGAAGTGGGAGTTCATGCAAGAACATTAAACAAAGTATTGAACACATATTCTTGTGATGCCAGTGGTTTGATTGAATCAGAAACTGGGAAATTGGAGGAAACAAGTAGTAGCAGTCTTAGGCCAGAGCTGCATAAAGATACAATACTTGTTATGGTATCTAATAAGAAAAGGGAAAAAGGGTCAAAACCCATCTCTGGTTCACTGAAAGAATCAATTGGTCACACTGAAATTGAAGTTGCTGCAGGTGCCTTATTGGGTTTAATTGGGAGCTTAGCAGTCTACTCTTTATGACATTTGTAATCTCTCTCTTGGATTCTTTATTATATGTACTTTCATGAAGCCATTTAGATTTACTCAAAAGTTGCAGTTACCACTTATCACCATCAATGATGGCAAAGCCAAATTATTTGCTTTAGTTAAACCACTTGGGTTGTGGTGCACTGGTTAAGTTCTAGAAGATGTAGTAGAACTGCCAAAAGACCTTGTGGCCATAGAGGTTCACCTATGACGACTCCAAGCTATTCGTGGTCACCTGGGGGATAGTCAGTGTGCGTAAGCTTGGTTCGGAAAGCCATTGTTAGCCAAGAAAAGGCAATTTTAGTTATTGATGCACTTTGTTGTGCAAGTGTACAGAAAAACATTTTCAATAAATAACATTTGGGACAATTATGTTATGTTTTGATGATAAGAGAACTGACATAAGAAAATAATGTACAATTATTTACAATTAATGTGCATAAGAAAATAAATGGAAGTCAAAAAGTCAAGTCTAAGTCTCAAGACCGGGTCTCAAAGTTTCAATTGAGATAAGCAACTGAAGTTGTTTGTCAACGTTGATAGTCCCTTTGTATTAAAATAAGTATTTATATTATTATTTTAGTTTGTCTCAAAATAAGTATACATTTTTAAAAAGTAATGTTTACTTTTCTATTTTATCTTTAATTATAAGATGAAAATGTCTATATAATCAAGGGCAAAATTGCAATTTTATTAATTAAAAAAACATAATAATTGTATTATCCAAACGTTGTGTTGGATTACCTGATACCATTAATTATTTTCACTCTTATTTAAGCGAAAGAATATTCAACCAATGATATATATATATATGGTTGGGTTCACGTGAGTCCAAAGATTTTTCGTGAGACCCGTGAGACCAATTTATGTTCATTGATCAACTTTATAAGCTAATGATCTAATAGTCTAAAGTTACACGATGACAATTTTGTGATTATTGAGAAGTCTCGTGTCAATTTTGTGATTATAAATGTTCAGATTGTAGATTTAATCCAAAGGTTGAGAATTAGTCTTACGGGTCTCAGGAAAAACCTTTGGACTCACATAATTACAAATCTATATATATATATATATATATATATATATATATATATATATACACTTAAAAAAAAGATTATGAAATTACAATATTTAGTTGATCTTGATAAATTGCAAGTGATTTCGTTAATGTTGAATACTTGTGTGTTATATCATTAAAAGATCACATATAAATGGATCGATATTTCAAGTTGACTCGGAGAAAATCGATCCTTTGAAGTTGGGTTCATTTTTCGGTAAAGATGCACAAAAATATCCAAACCCAAAACCAGGTTCAGGCGGTGTAGACCTAAATTTTCTCAAATTTTCTCAAAGCCTGATCAGACCGAAAATTTGGGGCAGACCCAGGACCTAAATTTGCCCGAAAAAGTCTAGCTTCAAAAAGCACAAATGGGCCCTTTTTCAACACTAAATCCCAACCCAGACCTAAAAAAGCCCGTACCTTCTTTTTATCACTGAAAACAAGCTTAAAAAGACAGCTTTCTACATCTCTTTATCTTTTGGTAAAAGCACGACTTTCTTGATTCATCCTCTTTCAAATGTAAACTACTACACAATACCATCATCAATGGTATAATATCTAAACAGTATATCTCATCCAAAAATGGGGTCTGAATCAGTATCGCACTTGATCACTTACTCAAAATGTATATGCATGATCAATCTTCCTTCTTTCCAAAGATAAACCATGGAACCCAATCCATGACCACTTACAATACAGGCTACAAATAATTTGCAAGTAATTGTGTCCTTTGTTCAGGAAAACATTCACCTTGCACAGTCAAAAACTTGGCCTAGAAGACGTGCAATCGAGATTAATACGGTTTGATTGCAGATAACAAGTAAATATCGGGTTCAAGAATTGAAGATCGAGCCACCTTACAGGGGTTCTATGGACCAATTCGGCTGGTCAGAATCCACAGCCAACGGTGAGATACGCAATGTCTTTTTATGGAATTTACGAAGGCTTGTGCGGTGGCCAATGCTTATATATGTGATTCCTGCTGCATCTATTTTTTCATACAAGTGAGCCTGCGGAAATAAACACATCATGTCACAAAGATATTCAAGCAGGCGGACCTAGAATTTTTTTATGATGGTGAGTAGAGGCATGGCTAGAATTTGCAAAGTAGGTGGTTAGATTGTGATAATTTGGAAAAAAGTTGGTTATTTTATGACGGTGAACAGAGGCAGACCTAGAAACTTTTTCAAGTGGTGGCACCATTTGACTGTAAAAAGCGAAGATATGCATATTTGTTTACAAAATCATCATTCATCAGTTGGTTTGTTCCTTACTTTTCGTTTCTGAGATCCTGTGTTCGAGTCTTTAATCCCAAATTAGTTCAAAAACATATAAATCTGAAACTAAAAGCTAATAACTAAAACATGATACAAATGAGATTTGAACCCACCACGCCTGGAAGGGGAGAAAATACCATGCAAACCAACTCTACCAAGAGAAACTTGTGTTATTATTGTAGTTTTAAGGAATATAGTGTTGCACCCAACAAAACATATGGTGACACCTTTCACAACTCTAAAAAACTTTTTAAACTACGACAAAGGAATGAAGCGGTGACCTGTGACGCCGTATACACCATAGTGGGTCTACCCCTAAGCAGAAGAATATTGTTGCCTCTGCAAAGATCATTCATTGCCTAATTTATGTTATCGATCAAACTGTACATTAATTGTTATGGAAAAGTTCCAACAGTTATTAAGATAGTATTATCGGGGACACTTAAATATGTTACTCAAAAGAACGTATCAACTGAAGTTCGTTATTGAACCGCAAATTTTCCCAGTAACCGAATTGACAGGAAGAAAAAGGATTAGAACAGGCAAAAGACAAACGGTAATTTGAACCATTGTGACATTTCGTCCCACATCTTTTGTGAATTAGAATCGTTAGACCCGTATAAGTCCCAAGTAGTCGGCTATCAATAACTTTTCACCATGGTTTTAAGTTGATTTTTGAGGTTATTCGGTTGATTTTGGCAAGAGGTATTACAAATAGTATCACAGTGGTGGACTTGTGCATCTCGTTGCAAACTCCTTCCTAAGTTATTTATTTGTTTCTATTACTTGATTTTACAATGTTGAGAGTGTATTTAGGGAGAAATATGTAAATATGTGCACAAAAAAAATTCAAGTAAAAGTTCTTATGATTGATTATTGATCAAAGAAGTACCTCATTGGCCTCATCTAGGGCGCTGGTGGATTCATCCAAGAGAACCAAGTCTGGTCGGGAAAGCAACAATCGAGCAAACGCAAGACGTTGCTGCTCACCGAGGGAAAGAACACTGGACCATTCATTGGTTGTATCAAGACCACTGAAACGTGACAACAAGTAGCCGAGTTGCACATCTTCTAAAGCTTGGATTAAATCATCTGTAGTAGGCTGCGGAGATTGTGCACTAATTTGCTCCGAGCTTGATCCAGCTTCAAGGAAGGGCATTGAATCTGTAAAGTAGTGGTGGTTTCCGATCACAATTTAGGAACTGGAAATATCTTAAAATTTGTAAGCAAGTATATGAAATCAAACAAAAACATGCAAATGAGATTGCATTCTTTATACTGCGGTGTAGGAAGAAACTAGATTGCACCCTGAATACATCCCTTATCTTTGCTTTGTGGAGGGAGAGAGCGAGTTAATTGACTCAATTGGATGAAATTTCTTTCAAGTTCATTTCTACCCTGCCCCATCTAGTTTATAAAACTTCGGGGCTGTTTGGTTCATTTTCCATTAAGACCTATATGGATAGAGTTGACTATAGTGATAAAGTTGTCTGTATGATAACAAATAAGTTGTTTCGGTTGTTGTGCTAAATAAACGGTCTGAATCTCAGAAATGACCATTTTACCCCTGGTCTATATTTGGTTGTTGTGCTGAATAAACAATCTAAATGATTTAAATTACTATTTTACCCCTAGTCTATATTAGACAATTTTTTTATAAATAGGTTGAATGGTTGATTTTGAATCATAAAAAACTATCACTTAAGCATTTTTTTATATTATAAAAACAATTTCATAATCAAATACTGAAATGAATTCAATAACAAAAACAAGAATTTAAGCATGTTTTCACTTTGCGTAAAATGTGCTTAAAACAAGAAAGGTTTCTCTTCCGCTAAAAATTTCAATGTGAACCTCCTGTGACTATGGACCTATTCTTTTTCAAGTATATATGGACAAGAACTTGAAGAATCAAGAATGAGGCATGATTTGATGTTACAAAGAATTGAACTAGCTATGAATTTTTTTAAGACCATAGTCAAATTCAAATGAAAGTCAATTTGAAGACCAGATTCGAATTTAAAGATCCAATGATGAACTTGAAGAGAAAAGCTAAGAAGACATCAAGACGAAGTCAAGAGAAAAGATGAAGATTAAGATCGATTGCGAGATATTTGTCTCTCCTTCTCACCTGACTAAAAGGTTCCCTTATATTAAAAAAACTGAAAACCCCCATCTGGACTTCGTAAAACCAAACTTCAACAGATGTTGGAAACTTGAGTAAATGGAAAGTCATTCCACAATTTCCAGGATACATGTATATTATGCCAAATTATATAATACTAAAATATCAGTCATCAGATGTACAGATGATGAAAATGACCAAGTTGGCCATCTTTTTTGAAATTCCATATAGAGTCTATATAAAGAATCGTTTCTTCCAAATAGCGGCTACAAAAAGAATGGTTTCTTCTCGGCTATTGTTCTTGTGCCGCAAAGTATCATTTCAACACACCGAGATACTTGGGTAGAATATGGTGGTTCTAAGCATGGGTAGCCAAGTGCTTTGGGAGTTCTAGTATGTAGGTAACAAACCATGATAAATGTTGTCCTCATTTTCCCCACCCATCACTCTTATCCCAGTGTATTAATTTGTTTGTGCATTTAATTCTTGTACTTATGTGACTTCTACTGTACACTAGTCTTGGGTGTTTGGTTTAACAGAATGTTTTTTTAGGGATTTGGAATCTTTGGTGTGTTTGGTTTGTAGGATTTGGAATGGACTTGAATTCCAATTTTTTATAAAAAATTGTAAATAATTATAGGAATAATTAAATTACCTTTCTATTAATTGATTATTATAAACCAAATGTTTTCGACATATTTTAAAACATTATTACACAAAAATCCTACAAAATCCCGCAAAATACCAACAACCCCATGGGATTTCTGAATCCCATGTTTGTGGGATTCCAAATCCAAGCAAATCCTTCAAACCAAATATGGGATCGGAATGGAATTAAATTCCAAATCCTACCCAATCCTACAAACCAAACAGGACCGTAGTTTGTTCTTGTACAAGTAGTTGTCAGAATTGCATTTTGGGTTTCCTTGGTTTTTTTAACCTACATTCCTCACATGTGTCTCTGCTGCCTTTTCTGGTTTTTCGTACCCATTGTTTGATAGCAAACGCTCTCACATGTATCTGCTCTCTTGTTCCTTTTAATTTTTGGTTTTACAAGCCATGCGTCTTTACGGAAACAACCTCTCTACTTTGGGCAGAGGAAAGGTTTTTACATCCTAACACCCCCCCCCCCCAAACATCAGCATGGGATTTACTGGGTTTGTTTGGTTTGGTTTGGTTATTTAATTCATGTACTTAACATTGTGCACAAACTTTGAAACACACATTCAAAAATGACAATAAACCTATAGAACAGCCTATCAAACCCCCTCCAAGATTATGCCCTCACTCCTAATAAAGTTAACATATCTACTTCTTATATACCCCAAACATCATGTACTAGGCACTAGCCTATAAAAGGAGAATGAACCAGTATGTCACCCCATAATGTCATGTTCTCTATCTGGAGCTTTTTATTTGACTCGTCTTTGTTCCTTCAAGTAGAGGCACTTGGAGTACTTATAGTTGATTTTCCATAATGTCGTTTGTTTTATCCAGAGTATATTATTTAACTCATCTTTGTTCCCTCAAGTAGTGGCGCTTTGAGTACTTATAATTGATCATCTCTCTCCCTATCATCTCCCAAGTTGGAAATCTTTTTTAAACTAATTGTTTTATAGAAAGTTCTGCAACGCATTTTTTTATTTGAATCGAGATTATGCAGTATTATACATGAAAGATCCTTTTTTGGCTCTCTCTTTAGCCCTATGTCTCTTATCCCTAAGAGGTCTTCCTCCACTAGCAGGTTTTTTTGGAAAACTCTATTAATGGAGTTTAAATCAACACATGAGGCCAGGCTCATTCCCAGAGTTAAGACTAACCCGTACAACTTGCACTTTATGGCATCTGAGGGACCACAATGGATGACAGGGCTATGACCATCTGCTCAAGGCACCCACATTGGCAACAAATAGCAAGGCGCTGGAACAACTTGGCCACTACATATCACTGCGACTAGGCTACTAGGTTAAGCCTAAATAACGCCAATTAACTCATTTATGGATATTAACAAAAACATTAACTACAGAATTACGATCTTAAGATTACATACCAGTTGATTTAGAGTTCTGGCTCTGGGCCTGGGGTGTTGAATCTGGAACATCAGGCCACGTGGGATAAAGCAACTGTTGCCGAAGAGTTCCTAAAACCATATATGGCCTCTGGGGAAGGAAAAAAACACCTTTAAAATCACGGTATTTTGATCTTTTATTGTCTTTCTTCTTTTCATCTGTCATAGTTTCTTCTTGAGGAGCCACGTCTGGTCTCTCGGACTGCTCAAAAACCTCATTATATTTAGCATAGAATGTGATCATTCCCTTACCGGTACGCCAAAGACCAGCAATAGCTCTTAAAAGAGAAGTTTTCCCACTCCCACTTGGTCCAGTAACCTGTCATTGGTTTTTAAGGATTAGTTCACAATAAATGGTCAACAACCCTAAAAGCCATCAACTCGATTGTAAAATGCAAGGAGGGGGCTAACCAGCAAATGCTCATTCTCACGGACTTCCACTGACAAATCCCTGATAAGCAGTGCTTTATTGGTGGGAGTCTGTACTGTCAAACTCTCGATCACCAATAAATTTTGGGTATCCAAATCTCTCAAGGACTTAAAAAAGGTTGAATCCTTCACATTACGATATGTCAGTTCAATCTCATCCAGGGAATCCACAGGACCATTAGAACTAGTGTAGTCCAAAATATCATCAAATTCCCCTGCATGATCATGTAAAAACTATGGTTCAGATTTTGAAGTTGGAGATGTGACTAGAACTTCATATAGATATTATTAATAGACATTTTTTAGTAGATGGGTAGCTGATTCAAAAGAAAGAAGACTCATTTTATGCATGCAAAAGAAAAGAGCTTCTGGATGCATATTAAATATAGATAAAAAATGAAAAAGAAATCCACAGACAAGAAGTTGTGTTGGGAAAATTTAAGTGATTTCACAGAATTGATATAAGGTAAGAAGTACCCAGTCGATCAATGACAGCTGAAAAGGCACTGATAGCCTGAAATTGATACACAATGAGGGAAAAATCTCCAAGAATATGATTGAAGGCAGAAACAGATTGATTTATGATGCCAAATTCAATCTTCCCGGAGAAATACATGGGTGCAACAACAGCAGCAGGAAGAATCTGAATCAGGTACCGGTAACCACTGGTGAAGAACTCCAGATTTCTTGAAGATATCAACAATTGCTGCCAGTTGAACATAAAAGTGGCTCGTTTAAAAAAAAAGTTAACACTTTGCATACAAATTCATCAAGACAAGTGATAAGTACCAATTTATTTGATACTTTTGCACTTTTTCTTCACTTTATTTGCCCATTTTATTTTCCCAAATTCCACAAATTGAGTCTTTTCGGTTTGTTTTTCTATTTTTATATTGGAGCTAAGGTGATATGATAAATATGTTTACTTCTTGGATGTATGTTAATTTTTGGGGAAAATAGCCATG